TTGTCTCGCAATTCATTAAGTTATCAAAAAAAGAAGATCAGACAACAACTTAAGACGTTGAGTCATATGCCATAATTAGGGATTATATTACTTCTTGAAAAAGATTACAAGATTTATTTATACTACATTCCTATTACATCAGGCCTTAAATCCTAATATTGATGGCTTTTACATGTACTAACGCGGATAAATATTTAACGCTTAAGAATACATGCAACCTAAGGATCTATGTCATAAGTCTATTGAAGTAATATTCTATTGAACAACAAAAACCTATGAACCCTATGTCAAATTTCGAAAATCACAAAAAAGTTAGGGTTTACATACCTTTTTAGTTATTGTAGTAAAATAACTAATCAAAAACCTTCTTGAAGAACTCTTGGAAGCAGGCCCCACAAGTGTTGTGCGTCTAATGGTTCACACCCAAATCCTAGCAACCAAGGAACTTGAAGAGAGAGGAGAAGAGGTGTCAAAATTTCGGCCTTAAGCTCTCTAAGATGTCATAGCCAAAAATCTAAGGCTAAGGGTCTTTATATAGTGTAACAAGGAAACCCTAGATAAGCCCCAAACTGTAACGCCCGCAGATCCGGGCTAGTCAATTTAGAGACAATGAACATCAAAAATGAGTTTTTGATGAAAGATTATTTAGAAGGAGTAATCTTAACCAAGTTTTATAATATGTCACAAGGGTTCCGTACATATAAACAATGCCGGAATCCGAGTTATAACGAAGAAGTTATGGCCCGTCGAAGTTTCGCGACAAAACCGGCACGACACTACGCGACGTAAATAGTGAATTTACGATAGAGGACTTTTTGGCCTTAGTGATCTAAACAAAAGTTGTAGTATACGTTAAACCGAGAGCGTGCATAAAAAGAACGCCCAAATCTGACTTCGTATGAGGAAGTTATGATTTTTCTAAGATTTGGCCTAACAGTGCACGCCCCGAAACTCGAATTTTAGATCGAGCGGTTTTTGGCCAACGCGACCTAAATGAGAATTAAAGATCTCATTAATAGGAAGTCAACGACAAAAATACAGACGGAAACGGAGTCCGTATGTAGAAGTTATGAATTTATGCGGACATTTAACATTGTAGTCACCTTCTACTGTTAAATTTAAGATCGGTTTAGAATTAGCCGACGAAGTCAAATGGAAAGTTGTAGATCTTATTTTTACCTACGCGTGGATATAAAGAACGTCAAAAAATGGAGCTCGTATGCGAAAGTTACGGATTTTAAAAGTCGGAAGTGTGCTATGCGAAAATGGGTGATGTGGCACAATCTTGGCCATTGCTTTCTCCCCAAGTCTTGGCACCAGATGGTGACATGTGGCACCAAGTTCAGCCATATTTCACCCTATAAATAGAACCTCTCACACCCTCATTTTCTTCACACCTTTCCCATTCTTTCTTCTCTCTACACTCTCTCTAAACCTCCCAAAAACTCCCCTAGCGCTAGAAGAAAGCCCCGGAGCGCTCGACGGCTCCGAGAAGAAGAGCTTTCGGCTCGGAAGTCCTGCCCCTGCAAAGCCCAGCTTCTAGCCAAACCCCCTCGTAGGTAAGATACGCCTAACTAATTTTTAATATAGCTTTTATTTAAATATAGTAACGTTATTAGGACCTTATAATAATTATTTGAGCTATTATTATGGGTTATATAAGTGTCGTTATAAAATCTTTTTAACCACTCGCCGTACGGGGAATCCGGTTTGAAGGGCCGCCTGGGTTGTTGGATTTCAGAAGTGCTATATGCCAAAATGATCCTGCCCTCCGGTGTTTCATGTCTAGCCCCTGTCTGTACATAGTGGGTGAAGAGTATTGTTTTAACGCTTATATAATAGTAATAATAGCAAGAATATTAATTAGTCTCGTTGAACATTAGACTAAACTCCAGTGGTAATGATACTAGGTTTTGTCAAAGGAAAATTGTTTTAAGAGTAACGAAGTGTTGTCCGAGTGCCGAGTCACCACCTTTACAGGTGAGTGCATAGTTACTTTCATCTTATACATAAATATGAAGTATTTTATATAAATTACGTGCTATGTGTGTATAATGTTTGAATACTTGTTGTCTATGCTGGATGAAACGTTTTATACATGTTTTAAATGATCTAAACTGTATATGTATTTTATATCTACAAAATGTGTTGGGTAAAATATGGGTAGATTGGAGGTGAGATAAATGATGAGCGATAAAAGATGAGATAAATGATGAGCGATGAAAGATGAGATGAATGATGAGCGATGATATATGAGTGATAAAATGTGGTGCGAAGCGATGACCTAAGTGATGACCTAAGCGATGACCAAAACGATGAGCCAAAGCGATGAGCCAAAACGATGAGCCAAACGATGACCCAAGCGATGGCCCCGTCATCTAGCAGAGTATGGATGACAACCACAGACTATTCTAGACAGTCTCGTGCAACACTAGCAGGCTCGCAACCTGTAGGTGTTGTGAACGATGTGTTCACCCGGTGTACTCTAAAAAAAACCCATTGACATGTATTGCGAGTGGACTCTCGAAAATGATACTGTCAATAAAACCTATATTAAAAATTAGGTAGGCATATCTTACCTACGAGGGGGTTTGGCTAGAAGCCGGGCTCTACAAGGGCAGGACTTCCGAGCCGAAAGCTCTTCTTCTCGGAGCCGTCGAGCGCTCCGGGGCTTTCTTCTAGCGCTAGGGGAGTTTTTGGGAGGTTTAGAGAGAGTGTAGAGAGAAGAAAGAATGGGAAAGGTGTGAAGAAAATGAGGGTGGGAGAGGTTATATTTATAGGGTGAAATATGGCTGAACTTGATGCCATATATCACCATTTGGTGGCAAGTCTTAAGGAGAAAGCAATGGCCAAGATTGTGCCACATCACCCATTTTCGCACAACACACTTTCGACTTCTAAAATCCGTAACTTTCGCATATGAGCTCCGTTTTTGACGTTCTTTATATCCACGGGTAGGTAAAAATAAGATCTACAACTTTGCTTTTGACTTCGTCGGCTAATTCTCGACCGATCTTAAATTTAACAGTAGAAGATGACTACACTGTTAAATGTCCGCGTAAAATTCATAACTTCTACATACGGACTCCATTTTCGTCTGTATATTTGTCGTTGAGTTCCTATTAATGAGATCTTTAATTCTCATTTAGGTCGCATTGGCCAAAAACCGCTCGATCTAAAATTCGAGTTTCGGGCCGTGCACTGCTAGGCCAAATCTTAGAAAAATCATAACTTCCTCATACGAAGTCAGATTTGGGCGTTCTTTTTATGCACGCTCTCGGTTTAACGTATACTACAAATTTTGTTTAGATCACTAAGTCCAAAAAGTCCTCTATCGTAAATCACTATTTACGTCGCGTAGTGTCTTGCCGGTTTTGTCACGAAACTTCGATGTGCCATAACTTCTTCGTTATAACTCGGATTTCAGCATTCTTTATAGGGAAATTGTCATAAAAGCCCTTAAGTTTTCCAAAAAGTGACGGTTTTACCCTTGGATGAGTTTTGGGGGCATTAAAGTCGGATACTTTCATTAAACCTATCAAATATCTCATTTAACAAGTTGGACCTTTGTAGCCGGTTACCATGTGCTGATTTGGCACTTAATTGACATGTCAAACAACGTGGGCCCCAACCCTCTCCCCACATAACCCTTCCCCACCCCCCTGTTTCTTGCATCCTCTCGCACCGCAATATCCCACGCAAAATATTCTCGCACGCAAAATGCCAACATCTTCTGCAAAATGAAGCTCGAATTCACATTCACGATTCAAGAAGAAGATCGAAGTGAAGTGTTGGTGTGAAGATTTATGCCTAGTGTTTGTTTCACGCACACCAGAAAATCCAGGCAAGAAATTTTGGGGGTGCTCTAATTATAAGGTAAAAATCATTTTCCCTTTTCTTTAGCAGGATTGCAGTAAGGGTATTATGCACTGACCTAATCATGTAGGGAGAAGGAGGTTGTGGGTTTTTCAGATGGGTTAACGATGAAGGAATTCAAAAGCAAGACATGATGCCAGAGTCAAATTGCATTACAGAGCAGCGACAAATGATGGCATTAATGCAGATGGTTGTTGTTTTGTTAGGGGCTATATTGTTCATCCTTGTTCTAGTGTTATGCAAGATTTAATGGCAATAAAGGGTGTTTTCTAAAGGGAGTAGTAAGGGGTGGCTTTTCTGAAGGGAACAGTATTGTGATCTTGATGGTATTTGATAGTTTGTTAGGTATATGTAATGTTAGGATTGTAATTTGTAATGTGTGGATGCTAATTGCAATGTATGGATGTTAATTTCTAATGTATGGATGTTAATGGATGTTAATTTCTAATGTATGGATGTTAACTGGAATTCAAGTTGGTTTGCAATGTATGGATGTTAATTTCTAATGTATGGATGTTAACTGGAGTACAAGTTGGTTTGTTTTGTAAGTATATTGAATTAACAATTGGTAATTGGTATAAATTTCTGAATGGTAAGAACTGATGAATGGTAACATTTGGTTTGTTTTGTTTTAGATTGAATTAAAATGGTAATTGGTATAAATTTGTAGTACAAGTTGTTGAATGGTAAGATTTGGTGAATGGTAACAAGTGTTTTGGTGAATGGTAACAATTCTAAAAGACTGAACAATTGGTGTGTATTTGCAAGTTTGAATGGTAATAATTGGTGTATATTTGCAAGTTTGAATAACATTGCATAAAATGGTATATTGCAGAAATAATTAGTGAATGGTAACAATTCTAAAAGATTGAACATAATATAGAAGGGAACATAATATAGAAGGGGGTGTATCCATTACATGTAGTTTAATTACATACTACCAATATGTAGCAGCCATCCATTTGTACCAAAATGCCTAAACAATGCACAAAAAAGGCAACCTAAATGGTAAGAAAATTAACAATTGGATGCATGCTACAATCAAAATGCCAAAAAACAAAGTTTACAAAAGTGGCAACCTATACCATTCCCCCTGCACCCCCATCCCCCTTCTTGCTAACAAACTAGTCCAAGTTGATTGGCTTTACAGAAGAAGAACCACCACCATCTTTGTTATAGACACCCTTCCTTAGCTTTATCTTGGTAATCCTCTCAGAAGTTTTCCTTGTTCTCCTCCTAACCATTGGGACAACCTGATGTCCTTCATCATCACCCTGGTTTTCCTCACCATCATCAACATCTCCACCACCATGACCTTCTTCATCACCATCACCTTCAGGCCCATCACCATCATCAACATCTCCACCACCAGGACCTTCTTCATCACCATCACCAGCACCTTCATATCCAGCACCATGATCAGGTCCAACATCCAGACCAACATCATCATCCAGACCACCATCACCAGCAACTTCATCTCCAGTACCTTCAGCTCCACCATCCAGACCAACATCATCATCAGAATGATGACCGTCAATGAAATCATTTACATCCTAGTGTAAAAAGATATAATTAGGTCACAAGAATCACCAGAAAAATTGTTAATTAATAAAAGATAATAGGTCTTACCAGTTCAACTGGTGGGGAATCATCCAATTCCACTTGTACCCCTGGCATAGCTTCTATTTCTGCCATGCTATAACCAGCTTCTAGCATACTAGCAATTTCTTCAGGTCCTAAATGTATCTTCTCTGGGAGAATATCATCCTCTTTTCCCTCAGTAAACTCAATAAACTGATTATCTTCAATTTCATCATTTATTGATTTAAGCTTCCTACCAATACTGGACCCTACTTGCCCAAAAGTGTCACTACCTTCCATCACACTTGCTTGACTACTTTCTCCTTCTTGCATCATATGACCATCTTGAATATGAATTACTGGAACTTCCTGCACAACTGGAACTTGTTGAACCACACTTTGACCCACATTATCACCCATCACATTTTCACCCTCATCAACAACTGGAACTTGTTGAACCACACTCTCTTGAGTACCTATAGTTGCAGAACCAATCCTCCCACCACCTCTCCTTGTGCACAACTTCTTCCTTGGTACATCAATACTATTTCTCCTAAATCTTTTAGAACCTGCCTGTTGCTGATGTTTTATGGGACTCATCCTCAATGTGTTATGTTTTCTTGGACTCCTCCTCACTGTGTTAGAGCATGAAGGTTGACTTGGGACATTTGGTTGACCAGGGCTTGTAGACACATGGGGGATGAGATGTTTTCTTGGCCTTCCTGTCTTCTTTGGTGGGAGAGGCACATATTGTTTTCTCTTATTCTTACATGCCCTCTTGTTATGACCATATTCCAAACAATTACCACATCTGGTAGTTCTTGCAACCTTCACTTTTGTTGTTGAAAACTTGCTCTCCTTCTCACTGGCATGCCTCTTTCTTTTGGTAGCAGGCTTACCAGGCATCCTCCTAGACATTGGAGGCAATGGCTTAATGTATTCAGTTTGGGCCCAAAGATTGCTGCCATTAACAGGTTCAATGTTTGTTGAGTAACATTGCCTAAATTTCTCTTTAGAGAAGTATGCATTGATGTATGCATCTGGTGTTTGATGGATAAAATTAATTGCTGCATTTACATGCACACAAGGGATGCCAGCCAAATCCCACAGCCTACATGAACATGTCATATCATCTAAGTCCGCCCTATAACTGTCACACCCTCTTCTGGCCTCAAACACATGCCCTTGACTATGAATTATTCCCCAGAACCTACAATCAAGTATCTAGTTAGTAACAATAATTAATGATTAAGATAAGTTTTAGAAAGCATAAAATAGTACCTCAAACTTTTCCCAAATCTATTCATTTTTTTCAAAATTTTTGGACAAACATTTGAATTCCACTTTTCACTTTTCACATTCATGTAAGCAAACCTGTCCATGATATAAATCCGTATCTCTTCAAGCATAGTGATCAAAGGTTTTTTCCTAGCATCCAATATTATTGAGTTGAAGCACTCTGAGATCCCATTCTCAACTGCTTCACATGCATAGCTTGTTCCAAAATAGGCTCTACACCATGTTTCTGGTTGCTTTGACATCAAGTATTCATATGCAGAAGGGCTCAATTTCTTGATGCTTTCCATATGCCTCTTGAAGTCACCTTCTGTGCAACTCATAGAGGCAGCCCAAAACAACTTCTTATACTCCACACCTGTGAAAGCCTTTCTAAAGTTGGCATAAATGTGCCTAGCACAATTCCTGTGTTCAACATGAGGCAGTATATCTTTCACAGATTCAAGCAGACCCTACCAGACAACCATTTAATTAGTTTAATAGAGGACAAATATGTAATAAGATAATTATGCAATTAAGTAGAGGACAAGTATGTTAAATTTTACCTTGTGTTGATCTGATATCACTACCAAACCTCTTCCACTATCAAGATCTAAATCATCCCTTAGAAGCTCAAGGAACCATGTCCAGTTAGCCTTATTCTCAACATCCACAACAGCCCAAGCAATTGGGTAGACCTGATTATTGGCATCTCTACCTATGGCTGTCAACAACTCACCCTTTACTGCTCCCTTCAGAAAGCACCCATCCAAACCAATAACTCTTCTACACCCTCTTTTCCAGCCTTCACATATAGCTTTGAAACCAATATAAAACCTATGAAAATAGTTTATCCCATCTGGATTGACAGTAACACACACCTTACATGTAGAACCTGGATTGGATCTTAACAACTCTTGTGCATAATCCCATATTCTGGCATAATGTTCAGTCAATTTACCTTCAATTAGCTCTTTGGCCCATTTCTTTGCCCTACGACATTGGCCTATAGACACAGCACACCTAAACCTTTGTCTGATGTCAGTAATCATCTCTTTAAGCTTCACCTTAGGTTTATTTGCAATTTCAGTTATGTAGTGTCTACCTATCCATTCAGGAGTAACCATACAGCCAAGTTTGAACTTCCTACCACAAACATGAGTAGCTTCTAAAGTCTTGATTTGAATAGATCTTTCATTGAACATCCATGAGGCATATAGTCTAAAAGGGCAACAATTATCCTCATTTCTTTTCCCACATCTTACAACTATTCTTGTACTGTCACACTTCTCAAAGTAGAGTTGATACCCATTGTGGACTGCGTAGTTTTGGATACAAAACTTCAGTTGTGTAACATTCTCAAAAATGTCACCAAGTTTTGGTTCCATTTTGTCCCATCTTGTTTTTGGATCATGTAATCTGTACTTGTTTATCACCTGTTCTTGCTCTTCTTCATCTTCATCACTTTGCAAGTCACCACGATGATACACTTGTGCTCTTACATCATTAGTCAAACTAGAGTTTCTAATATTTTCATCACTTAGTAACACATTAAGAAATGCATCCTTACACTTGTCCAGTGGAGTAATGAACTCTTCGTCTGGTTCATGATCCATGTAGATGCCATGAAGCTCAAAATCCATCTCATTAAGACCAGAGAAAGGCTCGCGTAAACCAAAAAATGGGTCTGTGTTACCTTCGTGTTCTGAATCCCAATCCATCATAACAACCTGAAAAAAACACAAACACATGTTGTCGTTATTCCTTAACCTTTGAAGAACAAAGAACTGTAATAACACAATCTTCAAAGAAATTACACATACCATGTGAAATCGACTCTCTAATAACCTAATCTTCTTCAAAAACCATAAGCCCTAATTTTGAGATGAATGATATCGACTTTCTGAAGGATTCTGAGAAAGTGTACGTATATGTGCAAAAGGGTGAGATTAGTTGGTGGGTAAACGGACGTAACGGAGTAACGTCCGTTTTGACATGTCAATTAAGTGCCAAATCAGCACATGGTAACCGGCTACAAAGGGTCCAACTTGTTAAATGAGATATTTGATAGGTTTAATGAAAGTATCCGGCTTTAATGCCCCCAAAACTCATCCAAGGGTAAAACCGTCACTTTTTGGAAAACTTAAGGGCTTTTATGACAATTTCCCTTCTTTATATGTACCGAACCCTTGTGACATATTCTACAACTTGGTTAATATTACTCCTTCTAAATAATCTTCCATCAAAAAATCGTTTTTGATGCTGATTGTCTCAAAATTGACTAGCCCAGATCTACGGGAGTTACAAGTATCTCCCCCTTAGGATGATTACGTCCCGGAATCATCAACGAAACAGGTCTTGTATAATAACTCCCTACGTTAACTCTTCATCCTAGGTAATAACCGTAACTTCTATGTTGCTTCAAACGAGTATTTAATTCTTGGACTCCTTGACTGCAGGCGATGCTCGATCTTGCACCTGCTCCCTATCTCACGTTAGACTCCAAATTATGACCTTCAAGTCACAATCTCGATCCTTACTGGAGACTGCTTCTTCTTCTTAACAAACTTAAGATAAGTTCTTTTATTACTACAATGGACCTATGTGTCATATTCTAATGATCTATCATCGCATGTTGCAACGCTTAGTCTCAGGTCTCTTAGAGTAAAATTCCAGAACAGACTATACCTTCCTTCATGTTCTAATCACAGCTTAAAAGGTAGCATTTCTAGCTACAAGCAACTATCGCGATACCTCTACTGATCGCTTTGATTATCTTTTATTTCAATCTTCTGGCTTAATTCAGATGCTACATCGAACTTGGTTCTCTGAACCACGTAACATACTCATCGTAGTCAGACTCAATTTGATATGACCACTAGGGTCAGAATAACAATCATCTTCTTAGTCATTACTGAAACAATGGTAATGACATACATGAACAAAACAGAATCAACTACTAGCTTCTTGGTAACCTTGTGACTTTCCCTGATCCAATTGTGAGTCTTGTGCTTCCGGTAGTATAGGCCTCTACTACCATTCACACCTACTCATACTCGTCCCAAGTATTGTCTCGCAGTTTTCCAAGTACCCATACAATAAAATCACATAACAACTTAACACATCAGATAGCAAAACGAAGGTTTTATATTAATCCTTGAAACGATTACATAGGTGTTCAAGTTCACCCTAGACTATGCCTCTAATAGGCTACATCATACGATACTATGGCTAACACATAACTCGATCTTCGGATATGAAGTCCTCATCCTTGATTCCTCGCGTTGTTATCTGTTTCGTCGAGGATCATGTGAAATGCCCTTGGCTTTGGCGGTGCATTTGGCCTTGCTGCTTCGTTTTTCTTTGGGCAGTCTCTAGAAATATGCCCTTCATTGTTACATCTGAAACATACCTTCTTGTTGAATGTGCACTCGTTGGCGTAATGGCCAGACTTTCCACACTTGAAACATATCACCTCTTCGCCACATTTTCCTAAGTGTTTCTTCTCGCACTTATCACACCATCTTGCTTTGCCTCTTCCTCCTCCTCCAAACTTCGAGAATTTACTCTCCTTGTTGGGCCTTGAAGATCCTTCAAACTTCCTCTTTTCTCCTACCTTATCTTTTTCTAGACCCTTTTCTCTTATCTGGGTCTCTATATTCTTAGCTGCTCTAACAGCTGTTTTCAAAGTAGTTGCCATTTTGACCGTTGGGCCAAAGTCTGCGGGCAGTCCGTTGGTGAACCTATCTATCTTGGAGAGTTCAGTAGGCACCAATTAGGAAAATTGTAACGCCTGTGTTTCTAGGGTATGCATTAATGACGATATAATAGTCTAGGTCAACCATTGGAACTCGTTTTGAAGTAATAAGAATGAATAGTCTTAATAAAAGTTGTAGTATATGTTACAAGGATTCCGAATATATAAAGAATGCCAAAATCCGAGTTATAACGAAGAAGTAATGACCTGTCGAAGTTTCGCGACAGAACCGACACGACACAACGCGACGTAAATAGTGAATTTACGATAGAGCGATATTTGGCTTTAGCGATGTAAATGAAAGTCGTAGAATACGTTAAACCAAGAGCGTACATAAAGAGAACGCCTAAATCTGACTTCGTATGAGGAAGTTATGATTTTTCTAAGTTTTAGCTTAGCGGTATGCAGCTCAAATCTCGAAATTGAGATCGAGGGATCTTTAGCCGAAACAATCTAAACAAGAATCGAAGATCTCGTCGATAGTAGTCCAACGGTAAAAAGAAAGACGAAAACGGACGTCAGATGAAGAAGTTATGAATTTCTAACGGAGTTTTCCTGTCCCGACCTACTAAAAATAATATAATAAAAATAAAGTCAAAATTAGCCGACAGAGTCTAAACGAGAGTTGTAGAGCATAATCTCACCTACGCGTGGATATAAAGAACGTCGAAAACGGAGCTCGTATGCGAAAGATATGAGTTTATGAAGTTCGGGGCACGAACCCCGACATTGTGTCAGAGCTCACGACATGAACATAGGGTTCACGACGTGAACTCAGAGATGACGTCTCCTGGAGCCTGACAGACCCAAGTTGCGATGACGCACCTGATGATTACTGAAGTCACGACGTGAACTTGTTGTTCACGACGTGAATATCAAAAATCCAACCCTATAAATGGAAGTCGAGGGCAGCCGGATTTGGTTGCTACTTCACTCATTCTCTCACTCTCTATACCCTCTCTAGCCATCTTTTAACCCCCCGAAGTCCCGGTATCATCCCCGATACCCGAAGCGAGTCCCGACACTCCGAAGATCCCGAGAAGAAAGAGTTTCAAGCCGAAGCTCTGCCCGCGAGAAGCCAGGTGTGTGAAGATATCCCGGTTACATCAAAAGATCAGTACTTGAAGAGCCGTAGTGTTGTCCGAGCATCGTCTAATTAAGTGAGTGTATAGTCACTTTCATCTTACACATAGATATGAAGTATTTTATAAAATACGTGCTATGTGTATATATATATATATATATTATTTGTTTATTATGATAGATCGGACATACCCGATCCGGGAATATGGATTCGGTAAGGAGGTAAATTTTAGATTCGGGAGTACGGATTATGTATTTTTGAACTATGTGTTCATCCGATAAGGTATCATGTGCATAGTCCCTTTCATGGACATGATTTTAATACAAGTATTGATTAAAGTATTAAATATATATGTATGTGAAATATTTGTTATTGCCCGAAATACGTGTTAGATATATATTTGATGATATACAACGTGCGAATCAGTTATGGTTCAATATGTGTTAAAATGTGTATATATATGATATTATTACTTAAAAACTCTGTGTTAAGTATACACTAGTTAGCGTTGCCTAAACGGAGATAGTATCGAAAATTGATTATAAGCATTGTAGGTTTGCCTAGTGATGGGTTAAGACTTAAAAAGGGATGTTTAGTTCAATTAAGTTTGGACATTGGTAGCCTCTTATTAAGAGTACGTGTGTGGTGAGATCGATGATCGGTGGAGTACGTCCTACGTACAGAAGTACATTTTATGTACGAAGTCCTTTTCAAAGCCCTGTGTCTTAGGTGCTGCTTGTGCCGGGGTATTATTATGTTCTCGGGTACGAGTCCTACGCATACCAAAGTACTATAATGTACCAGAAGTACTATCATGTACAAAGTCTTTTTGACACTATTGTGTGTCGGTTACGGGAGCGTACGAGAGTACTCTATTAGTATTTCCCCATACTTTTTATTTTGAAAGAGCTTTGGAGTCATTGTTTCTTTTATGAAGTGATCGGACGAGCTTCATATGTCATCGTTTCCTTCCCGAAGTAATTGAGGGAACTTCATAGACTGACTAATAAAGTGTGTCGGTAATAGACCACTACTAGGTATGTTTGGTGTTATATTGTCGGTAGGGTGAGTCTGGGGGTAAAAATACCTCACGATATTCAGACCACTGCTAGGCAAAGTTCGATGTTGGATAGGGTGAGTCTGGGGGTAAAATACCTCACGATATTCGGACTACGGCTAGGCATTGTTATCTAGATAACTACCCCTGACTTAACTGTCTTGTGGTTCTTTCTTTTACGAACGAAGGTTCGTGGTGAAACTTATTCCATTCCCCTCATTTGATGTCTTTATTGATCCTCGTTTGCTGCCAGGGAATTTCCGAAGCAACTTCGTCAGTTTGTTGTTCATATCGATTCCTTAGGCTAGATCTCGTAAGATCATTGTATAGGGTCAGTATGTGGGGATCGACGGGATGGGATAGATTGTTTTAGAAATATGATATATATGTGTTAATAATAATAGTGGTTTTGCAAGATTGAGATATACATTATTATCACATTGTTTGAACTAGGTGTTCATTAAGTATTTTCAAACGGAGTATTTTCAAACGGAGTATTTACCAAGTATTTTGATTTAAGCGTTCACCAGTTGTAATTTAAGAACCCTGGCAGCTATGGACTTAGTGCCTTATATATGTACGTTGGTAGCTATGGATTTGGTACCATATAGATGGACATTGGTAGCTATGGACTTAGTACCTTGGCAGCTATGGATTTAGTGCTTGTTGTATAAACCTCGGGCAGCGATGGACTACGTGCCTATTCCTTAGGTCAATCCTTAGGAATGAAGGATAGATGATTCTTAGGGTAGATCCTTAAGATTTAAGAAGATAATGGGGATGGGTAATTGGGTTGATTGTTTGATGATTAAATATAATAATTATATTATTGTGGGTTGAAAACCCTATATGCTCACCAGGCTCCCAAGCCTGACTCACTCAGTTTTTTTGTATTACAGGTAGTGGAACAAGAGCATAGTTGGACGAT